AAAACAGCATCATATGTTGACCATAATAAAGCACCTATGTATATCATCAGGTGTTCAAAGCCCTGCTTTTTGAGGAGACTTACTTGCCTAGGAAGGAGCAGGGTCTGGTTGGCAGCCTGTAATGATGTCTTTTCCATTTTCTCTAGAAGGATTTCATGGAGGGCATGTGCTAATGAATGCACAGCATTGTAGATGAGGTAGCTGGTGTCAGATATGGTCATTATATCAACATTTCCTGGCAGAAACTCTAAGAAAATATTGAGAGGGCAGACTCCAATTTTTCCACAAAAGGACCCAACAGGTAAACAGCCAAAAATGTGAAACCACAGTTTATTGAAGTAAAAGTCTTCTTGGTACCTGGAGGGGGTCACTGTCTTGAGAAAGTGTTTGAGGCCAGGGATTTCCCTTCTGTGGTGTGAAAATTAGAAGCCTCCATGGAAAGAGTGTAGCATGTGGTTCGTCTCATACACGACAATATCTGTCTTTGCTACCATAATCCACACCTTCCCCAGGGTTAGAAAGAAATCTCTCATTATGTTCACAGTCATGAGACTCTTGACATCACCATAGAGCATTGGTATCTTTGCAGATGAAAAGGTAATCCTAGTCATAATATTATATCAGTGGTACATACATACTCTTTTTTTTTTTTGACAGGCAGAGTGGACAGTGAGAGAGAGAGACAGAAAGGTCTTCCTTTGCTGTTGGTTCACCCTCCAATGGCCGTCATGGCCGGCGTGCCGCAGCTGGTGCACCGCGCTGATCCAATGGCAGGAGCCAGGTACTTATCCTGGTCTCCCATGGGGTGCAGGGCCCAAGTACTTGGGCCATCCTCCACTGCACTCCCGGGCCACAGCAGAGAGCTGGCCTGGAAGAGGGGCAACCAGGACAGAATCCGGTGTCCCAACCGGGACTAGAACCAGTTGTGCCGGCACTGCAAGGCGGAGGATTATCCTAGTGAGCCACGGCGCCGGCCACATACAAACTCTTACTAGCAGTGAGACCTGTGTGATTTCTGGAGCAGAGTTCCATCCTCCAGTAAATCCCACCTTCCATGAAATTTAATATTTGAGAGAGAAATACATCTTTACTGCATGGATCTCTTGATAATTTGGAACTTATTTATTACCAGGGCATAACTTAGGTTGTTTTAAAGAAGACAATCCTTTACCATCTCTGATTTTCTTCAAAATGAATTTTCAAGCACAAAATTCATATCAGCTAATGTACTTGACAGTAATGACATCATTGCTGCTAGTGTGAAGAGCAGTCCTCTGTGAATAATAATCCTTGAGATGAGGAGCCAACATTTGGGATACTAGGTCATATGCTAATGTCCCACAGGGAGGTTTCTAGGTCTGGTCCTGGGCTCTGGTTCCTGATTCTACCTTCCTGCTAATGCACACCTGGGAGGCAGCAGGTGATGGCTCCAGTAGTTAGGCACCTGCCACCCATTTGGATCTGAATTGAGTTCCTGGCTCCCATCTTTTGGGCTGATTCAAATTTGAAGAGATGCTCTCTCCATCCCCATTTCCCTCCCTCTGTCCCTCCCTCTCCTTCTTGTCCCATACAAATATTATAGTTTAATTTTTAACCTCTGAGACAGGGAAAGTTTTCTGTGCTGTGGGTATTTCCAGTAAGGCACAAGGCTGTGAGTAGTCAGCTGTCACTACTCCCAGTCGGTGGAAAGATGGGTGCATAGCTCTACACAGGAATTTGGTGGAGGCTCTAAGCTTCCACTGCTCCTTCCCTTTCTTCCTTCTCCTTCCCCCGTTAATAGTCTCACAACACGGGAAAACCCCTGGGATCTGTTCTGTATCACTGTGCGACTGTGAGGTCAATATCCACATTCCACTAGCACCAGAAGTGGGAAAGGCTCCAACATTTCTTTCCAGAATTCATGGCCTATTCATCTGGGGGATCTTGTAGAGCTCCAAAAAGGTTCTTTGCTCTCATTGAAATATGTAGACTTGGTCCCTGCAATTATGGCAACTGAATAGTTCTGTGTCTGGCAGGTGTAGTAAGGGATAAAATGATACTCTCTGGTCAGCCAGTGCAGAATGCTCCACAGGGTAGACTGATCACTGTCAAAGGAATTGTAGAGATAGAAACCCAAGGACAGATTGGGGAGTAGCTGAGATTCCTTATTGATCTCCTATATGGCAAAATGGAAGGCCAGCACATATTGGTAGTTCTTCCACAGCCACCTAAAGAGAGGGGCAGCATCAGGGAGAAGGGTCAGACCATGGAATTCAGAACAACTTCTCAGTCAGACTCAGCCTGCCACTTAGTGATGTGCCAGCCCTGGCACAGGGAACCAGGGTAGGTAACATTAACAGGGACATGGAAGATCTGGGGATGTCTCTTTGACTCCTGTGAAGCAAAGTGTTTCCAAACCACTGTGAGGGATGTTCAGGCTTTGTAGCTGGGGTGAAGTAGAATACCCCTGTTTCCTGGACAGATATTTGAAGGTCCTACAAATAGTAGGGTGCATCTCTATGTATGGACCAGACAGCAATATGTTGCCCTCTAGTGGTGTGAGAAAGTTGTGCACACACTCAGCCTCCTGGACTTTTCTGGGAAGTGCTTGGTGTATCCAGTATGCAATCCAGTTTCTGCTCAGAGGCAGACACATTCAGACACTTCTGTTTCCCATAAGGTTTTGAATATTTTAAATAACCACCCGACCTGCCAGTTTTTCCAGCTTTGGGATGCATTTGTCTCTTTATCCACATTCACCAGAGGAAATTTTTGGGCCCTTTGTATATTTTCCACTCTAATATGTCAACCCTTATGAAAGCAGCTTTGTTAAAATATATTTTCTTTGAAAGATGAGCATTTACTTCAGGACTTATGTCTTATTGTGATAGAATCCAAGCTAGTCCCTCAAGTGTCTTTATTTTCAGTGTTGGTAATGAATTATCCTCTCTTCATTTACATTTTACACCTGAATATTTTCTGCTGTTTATAAGTAGCTTAGCCATCTAAATTAGTTCTTGGAATTTAAAAATAACTCCCACTGCCAGCACCGTGGCTCACTAGGCTAATCCTCTGCCTGTGGTGCTGGCACATTGGGTTCTAGTCCTGGTTGGGGTGCCAGATTCTGTCCCAGTTGCCCCTCTTCCAGTCTAGCTCTCTGTTGTGGCCCAGGAAGGCAGTGGAGGATGGCCCCAGTGCTTGGGCTCTGAACCCGCATGGGAGACCAGAAGAAAGCACCTGGCTCCTGGCTTCAGATCAGCACAATGTGCCTGCCATAGCAGCCATTTGGGGGTTGAACCAATGGAAGGAAGATCTTTCTCTCTGTCTCTCTCTCTCACTGTCTAACTCTGCCTGACCAAAAAATAAAATAAAATAAAATAACTCCCACATATCATTTTTATATGGGAATTAGTGTTATTTTCTCATTTTTTTTTCTTCTTCCATTGGCATATTCTCTTCTTTTCTGACTACTCAAGTTTCCTCCATAATTTGAACATAAAAATGCTTCCTTGTTAATAAATTATGATAGGCTAACAATCTTAGTCCATTAAATTACTTAGTTTTTTTCCCATGATTATTTTGTTCTAATTAATTACATAAAATTTTATTTTGTGTTAAATCTTTAAATAATTTTGAAATATTCTTAATAAGATATCAAGACAGAACTGAAAACTGGTGCCCATTTTAAGATTACCCAGGTCTAGGCATCGAAGATTCTAGGATGTGACAAGCACATGATGGCTGGCCCCTTATGCACAGAATGAGGGTGGAGAGAGATACTTCCCTAGCTGCAGGACAGAAGGCAGAGTGCACCTCCAGCTTTGGTACCTGGGCTAAAGGCTCTCTCTCTGAAGGTAGGGATTCCTTCATCTTCAGATCACATTCCACCTCCACATCTGTCACTCAATGCAAACAGTCAGTAGCTGTCAGTTAACCAAGAAATTCACACACATGAACGACCTCCCCAAAAAATGTCTCATTCAAGTTTTGGCTAGAAATGGAGTCACTAAAAGAGATTAGGACATCAAAATGAAACAGTGAGAAGGGATAGGTTATGTGAAGGCACTGGTTAGGCAAATTGCAAGGCTGCAATTCTGCCCCCAAAGTGAGGAGACCCACCATGAGCTCCCTCTTATGCAAGGTGACCTGATGAGGGGACAGGTGTTAAATTCCAAAAGAAACTCACAAGGACAGACTGACTCCAATTAAACAACTTGCGTATTCCTCACCATGTTCTGAACACATGAGCCTGTGGATCTCTTGAATGTCTGAGAAGCATGCCGCACTGTTGTGACCAACAAGGTGTTAAACCCCCTTGTTAAGCAGCAAAGTAGCAACCCAGTTACTAGAAGCATGCACAAACCAGGTGTGCAAATCCCAGAATTAATGCAGTTTCTGTATTGTTCCTGGAAAAGAACCATCAGCATCCTAGAGAAAAAAAAACATTGACTCCTTAGGAAACATGATTTCTTTTCCTTTTTATTTTGATGATCAGGAACACCAATGCTTCCTCTCTGGTAGAACTGAATTATTGATTGATGGTGGGACAGAGTCCATTTAGAGTGGTGATTCTCAGGGTCTCACGGTTTCTAGTTCAGGCACATTCAACTATGCCCTTGTTGACTGTGATATCCAGCTTGAGCCTCTTGGGAACTAACCATGACCTTATGCCTGGTTATCAGTGTCTCAGGACAACTTGAACCATCTCCATGGACTCCAGCAGGACTCTTCTGTGGGTCCCAACAGTCTCACCCATTCCAATACCCCAAAAATTGGTTCAGAGGGACGTGTCCAAATTGGTAGGTTTAACTATGTTGACACCTCTCTTCTGTTCTGAGGGACCAGGGAGCAAACAGAAAAAGGATGTGACTGCTGTGGAAAGGAAAACAATTGAAGAGAACTCAACTTTCATTGGACTGCATTTCTGTCACTTCTCTGTATACTTCTCAAAATTGCCAATAAGGATAGGACACACACGGGCACAAGCATGTACTCACACTCAGTCACAACCTTGAACTTACCAAGATGCTGACACTTTATGCCGTGGCTTGACCATAAAAGATAATTGGATCATCTCACATTCTGGTTCCATGTAGTAAAGTGGGAGGAATCCACCTAGCTCCAAGTCTCCATCTCTGTGGACATCTATCTTCAGATAAACTTGGCAGCTGCTGACCGACATGTTCAACCAAGTGTGTAAAGGGTGTGGGAGTAGGAAGAGAAAAATCAGAAATGGTGACATCCAGTATCTCCTCAGCATAGAGTCAGAGACCAGAGTCTTAGCTGAACTGGGAAGAACATGGGCAGATACTGCCTGCAGGGTCAGACCTCTGCAGGCAGAACTTGTCTCTGTGTAGGGCACAGCCAAGTCTTGGGATTGCTGTGTCCTCAGCCTATATAATGTGCATGACAGTGTGATGATCCAGACAAGGACACTGGCTAGAAGCCAAAGGGAGATATTTCTAAGTCAGTCATAGTACAGAGACCTAGATTGTGTGTCACTGTGGTCAGAGCAGATCATGCCTCTGAGTCTTTTTATTCTTTTATCTGTGTCCATTCTGGAAACACAAGGAAGCATTCTGCAAGGAAGCTCTGCACCTATCACCCTCCATTCCGTGGAAAAATCACTTTGGAAACAACACGATTATTCTTAGTCATTTAACTTAAAAGTGATCCCTGTTAAATATAAGAATGGGAATAAGGGAGTGTGAAGATGTATAGTTCTGCACATGCTCATTTGGACTTACACCTAATAGTAAGAGCTAGAAACGTGCCAGGGGATTCCAATTCAATCCCATTAAGGTGGCAAGTACCAATGCCATCTTACTTGTCAAAGTGATCAGTTTAAGTTCATAATTGATCAAAAAGATGGGATTAAGTGTCAAAGGGACCAAATAAATAAGACCAGTGTCTGCAAATAATAAATTGATAGAATTAAAAAGGAGGGAACAATGCAACATGGGAAGTGGGAAACAGAGCAAACTCTTAGAATGGCAGATGTCCTTAACAGCACTCTGGCCTCAGAATCGACCCTTAGGGCATTCAGATTCTGGCTAAAAAGCCCATGAGAGTATTTGAGGCATGGAAAGCCAAGACACTCTGTCATAAAGATGACCTAAATGAAAGATCTCTGTGAGTGAGATCCCGTGGAAAGAACAGGTCATCACAGAATGCAGTACCTTTCTCTGAAGGGAGGAGAGAAATTCCACTTTGATTATGGCCTTGTCTAAACAAGATCGAGTTGTGAACTCAAGAGGCTTCCATAGCCTTGGCAGTTCATAACAAGAACTTTGGGTGATTATTGATATCATAAATAAGAGTGTCAATTGTTAATCAACATGGGGGTCACTGTGCATCTGCTCCCCATGTAGGACCTCTGTCCTTAATGTGTTGTACTATGTGAATTAAATGGTAAAACTACTACCCAAACTGTACTCTATACTTTGTGTGTCTTTGTGGGTGCATGTCTGTTGAAATCTTCACTTAGTATATACTAAATTAATCTTCTGTATATAAAGATAATTAAAAATGAATCATGATGAAAAATGGGATGGGAGAGGGTGTGGGGAGATGGGAGAGGGCTGCAGGCGGGAGGAGGTTATGGGGGGGAAAAGCAGCTATAATTCAAAAGTTGCACTTTGGAAATTTATATTTATTAAATAAAAGTTAAAAAAAAGAAAACACGTCTTTGACTGTCCCTCCAACCTGTCCTCTATGAGTTCATCATGGTTCGATCAGGGCTTTGGGGACCACCCCAGGTTTACACAGCAGACCTGTAAACCTGTGTGTACAAGGGACCAAGAGTGGTTATTTCGATAGTTTGCTTGGGAGGATTTGGCATCTTTAGAAAGAGTTGGTGTTCAGATAAACAAAACAGCAAGTTGCATCAATCCACGTGTTTCTCTAGAAAGAAGTGAAGGGCTGGTGTCACTCATTGATGGCTCTGTGTACACCCCAGCCATTGTCTTCATTACTGCATCTTAATATCTCTCTCAGACCTACAGAACTCTGCTAGAACATGAGTTTCTAATTGCTAAATGAATAGTACATCCAGAGAACTGTAGGAGCTCATCTCCCCGCATCTACCACTCCAAACAATTAATCCACTTCCCCAACATACTTCTCAAATTCAGTATTCTGCACCAGCAACCTTGAATCAACATCCCATGGCAAATGGCAAGTCACAGGAACTGTGATAAGTGACATATCCTGTGACAAGTGACAGGAACTGTATTCGTTATTAAACATTGATTTCCTGGTCATATCTATGTTTCCTCACATTTCATATAAAGCATCTCAGTAGAATTTTCGTAAATACTTTTAAATTTTTTAAAATTTATTAGACAGGTAGAGTTACAGACCCTGAGAGAGAGAGACAGAGAGAAGGTTCTCCTTCTGTTGGTTCACTCCCCAAATGGCCACCATGGATGGCACTGCACCGATCCAAAGCCAGAAGCCAGGTGCTTCTTCGTGATCTCCCATGTGGGTGCAGGAGCCCAAGCACTTGGGCCATCCTCCACTGCCCTCCCGGGCCACAGCAGAGAGCTAGACTGAAGAGGAGCAACCAGGACTAGAACCCGGTGCCATATGGGATGCTGGTGCTGCAGGTGGAGGATTAGCCATGTGAGCCATGGCGCCGGCCCCTTAAGATACTTTTATATGATTATTAAAATGTAACAATTTATGGTTCCATGAGAATGACTTGCACTTCATTCATTGAGGATTGGCTCCATCCAACTATTTATCTTGTCCATTACCTCACATCCTTTTCATTTTTATGTGTGACCACGCTTAAAGGGGTGGTGTTCCAAGCACTTTGCGATAGATAATATGGTCTCAGAAATGTTTCCTATGGTATGTCAATATTGTAAACCTATAGAAAGTGAAGGAAAGGGGCCGGCCCTGTGGTGTACAGGGTAAAGCCAACACTTGCAGTGCTGGCATCCCACATGGGGGCTGGTCGGCATCCTATCTGCTCCACTTCTGATCAGCTCCTCTGCTATGGCCTTGGAAAGCGTAGAAGATGTACCAAGTGCTTGGGCCCCTGCACCCATGTGGAAGACCTGGAAGAGCTCCTGGCTCCTGGCTTGGGATCGGCCAGTTTCAGCCATGGCAGCCATTTGGGGAGTGAACCACAGAGGGAAGACCTCTATCTCTTTCTCTGCCTCTGCCCTCTCTGTCAGGCTGGCCTTTCAAATAAATAAATACAAATTTAAAAAATTTTAAAAAGGAAACTGAAGGATATGATGGTTGCCTGCCCTGTGGTCTGGGGACTTGCTGTTGACTGCTTAGTGAAGAGACTGACTATGGGATAGGGAAGTGGTTTTGAATCTACATAGAAATGTTGTTTCACAAATCTGTAAACACACTTATACAATGTGAGTGTACAGTATGAGTATGGATGTGCTTCAGTTCCACTGAGATTTTCAGTTAAAGTGATTCACATTGGCTATGCGAATTATATGTCAATAGAAACAGCATTCTCTCCAAGTGGAATTATAGAAAAACTCTAAGCAAGGTCAAAAATAAACAGCAGTCAATGATAGATTTAGTCCTATGTATTTAATTACAGAATCATTTGTATGTATTCATGAAAACTATATATAAGTGTGATAATGATACCATCTTATTTTTATTTTTTGAGGATGATTATAGATAAGTTTGTTAGTTAAATACTGATTCTACAGCTATTTCACCTGAAGATTGTGTTAGCAGCTTTGTGGGTTCAGGAAATCCTAGGAAGGTGACCTTCAGGAAGAAAGCATTGTAAATTATGATTAAAAAAGATTCTTGACATAAGCATATTCTCTGTTACAGTATGTAGGAATTTGGGGTAGGGGCTGGGTGTTAGAGTAGAAAATAGTAACCCACAGTCATCTACTGTGTTGTTGATAAGAACAAGCACCAAGAAGTCTTTGAAGTACCATCATGCATAATTGGAAAATGATTATTATTCAAGAGATTGTGTACAATACAGTATCCATTTCAGGATAATAGCTTCATAAATTGACTCTGGTACTGGGAAGGAAACCCCACTTAAATTATGACATAGCAAACTCAAATGACCCAGAGAAAACTGAACACAAAGCATATGTAGTTTAGATATCATATCAAGTATGAGTGATTGTAGTGTAGGTAAATTGATTAAGAAAATAGATATTAATTCAATATTCCAAATTCAGGGTTAGTTGTTCAATATAAAATGACATTATTGTTTGTATCCTTGCTAGGCAGCTGAAGATAGCTTCACATAATTACTCTTCTTTTATTTCAACATTCCCTAGTCATGTTTATTTCCTAATAAGTCTATGAAGAGAGAAAAATCTCAGAGCCAGCATCATGGCTCACTTGGTTAATCCTCCGCCTGTGACACCGGCATCCCATATGCCGGGTTCTAGTCCCGGTTGCTCCTCTTCCAGTCTAGCTCTCTGTTGTGGCCCAGGAGGGCAGTGGAGGATGGCCCAAGTGTTTGGGATCCTCCACCGTCATGGGAGATCAGGAAGAAGCACCTGGCTCCTGGCATCAGTTCGGCGCAGTGCTGGCCGTAGCGACCATTTAGAGGAGTGAGCCAACAGAAGGAAGATCTTTCTCTCAGTCTCTCTTTCCTCACTGTCTGTGACTCTACCAGTCAAATAAAATAAATAAATAAAATAAAAAAAGAAATAACCTATTAAAAGAAAGTGAGAGAAAAATCTCCCACTTAGCTGGGGCTGGGCTTGGGACAGAACCAGGTGCCAAGAAATAAATCCAAGTCTTGCACATAGATGACAGGAAACCAATGCTTGATCTGTCACCACTGCCTCCCAGTGTCTGAATCTGAGAAGTTGGGGTCAGGAGCTGGAGCCAGGGATTGAACTCAGAAACTCCATTGAGGACATGGTCATAATCACTAGGCTAAATGCCTGCTATCCATTTTGTTATAAAACAGAGAAATCAGTTGGGGTGCTAGGTTTCCATAGCATTTGCTACTTATAGAACCAGAGTTCTGAGATGAGTAGCTCTGAGAGATCATGCGACAGCAGAAACTTCTGTGTGGGATATCACTAAAGATGTAAGCACAGTCACAGTGAGCATGGCTATAGCCAGAACAAGTGAATCCATTGCTCTCTCCCAGAGATAAGGAAGGATATGTACCTTGATCTAATCTATTCCTCTTCTTCACCATACAGTCATCAAGTACTG